TTGTGAAGTACATGGAGGGAGAAAAAGACTTGAGAATATTTTAGAGATCAGAGACCTGAGAAGTGGAATTGGAATCATCTGGCCAGAAGATGAAAGCTCTTACCCTGTAAACATTAAAAATATGGACTCCAAAGTTGTTGACTGCCATGGTTTGAAGCTTGGCTCCGCCTACATTAGGGTGGCAAATTGGGCAAATTGCTTAGTGCCTTGGTTTCCCCACCATAACAATAAAAGTACCTACTTATTAATGTTGCTGTGAAGATTGAATGCGTGAATTATACCGAAAACGCCTGGCATATAGCAAACGCCACATTACTAATTACTATTATTAATTGTAAGCTATCAGGAAGTAAGAATGAAACAATTTTCCTAACACATTCAGTGCTATACTTGATTTCACCTTAATTCTAGGCTTTGTATAATTCAGTTTATTGTTATTCTTTTTTACTCCAACAGCCTTGCCCTCAAGAAGTTTGAGACATTGCACGTAATTCTCTCAGCAATTATTCTCTCTATATTCTTTCTAGAAGACAGGAAAACTGAGGAAGTAATAGTACAATTGTCTCAGTTATGGGGGAAATCAAGGCCAGCCTCTGCCCATCTCTTTTGATGCCCCGCCAAATGTTCTTTCAACTCAAATGCACTTCTTTAAAGCGAGTTTGAATCTGTTTTGACCTTGTCAGGGCTGAGAACCAGCTTTTCTATCATTTGAGCTGACCCTCCAATAAATAATCCCATTGCTGGAAATCCCCTAAAAAGCTTCAAAAGGAGTGACTAAGAGGGGCTGACCTGGGACAATGTGCACTACGGAAATGAAAAACATTCATCTATTTCCTCCTTATCCACAGAAAGGTGGCCAAGTCTCAGATAACTCAGGAGTATAGTATACAGCCGCAAACAGGAATCTCTGAGCAGCAAAGGGAAAAGACCTACATCATCTCCTAAAAGAGCAAAGAGGATAGATGGGAAAAAGGGAATGCCTTAACTCTCTTTGGGGATTCTTAGTTTACTGGAAAATCTGAATTGCTCGGCTGCCACGCTGTTTGGGGCCCCTTGTTCCCTTTCCAAGGCAATTGCTGCAGGCAGCATGGTCCCCACGCCTCGGAGTCAACCCCAGCAAGTGGGTGATTCCCAAGAAATGGTTTTGCCCTCCTCCCTCCCTGCAAAACCCTCCAAACGTGGTGCTCTGTGAACTGTACTCAAATGTTGCCTTCAATGAATGGAGCTGGAAATCTTGCGACAACATGTTTCCCAGAGAGCGGTTTTTGGGACTTCTTGCTCTGGTCTCAGCCAAGATGAGAAGAGACAAAAACAGATGTTGGATTGGAGGGGGAGAGAGAGGATCCTATAGGTGGGGGAACCTCTCCATTCCTAGAAATTGGTCCAGTTAACATTTAGAGTAGAGGCTTCAGTTGGTTCTCATTTATGGGTTCAGTTGAATGCATTTCATTGCGATATCATATAGAAGACATTTTTGTAACCAGGCCCAAAGAAGCCCGGCCAACTGCTTTCCTGATGCATTGCTCAGAGCTGAAATGCTCGGGCAAGAAGGTGAGGCATGTGCCTTCTTTGGAGAACCCCTACTCCGGTTCCTGGTTGCACTGTACCATGAACTCCACGTCTCCGTGCCTATGCAAACACTACCACAGTTTGGGAAATGGAAATGAGTGTCTGCTTGACTGCGAGTTTGCCACTGCCATCCCGGGTGGGCCAGCTCCGTAGTGTTGGACTTACTCAAACACCTCAAAGTATTTTTCGAATGTTTTGGACTCGGCAAACCCCTAAAGTGTGTTTGGCCTGCTTTTTTCCCCTCCCTTTTTCAAACCCCTGCATGTTTCAAGGGAAATTTAATCCATATGTTTCTGATACATTTACACTTAACTCATCAAAATATTGTTTTGTGCAAAACCACTGGCTGTCCAGGGCTCTTTAGGAGTTCTTTTAATGGAACGTTTTAAAGCTTTTATTTTTTTTCTTAGAAACAGGAAGTCACATTGGTGCCAAAAGTTAAAAGAACTTGAATCAAAAAAAAAAAAAAAAAAAAAAAAAAAAAAAAAAAAAAAGATGGAATTCTAGTTCCAAATCCACAGGTTTCCAGGGGGTTCTAAAGTTGGCAAAGCATCCCATGTTTTGCAAGCCGAAGGCCTATAAACAGAACCTAGCATTAGGTTCCACATTCTGTCTGTGAGCACACCCACCTCTATGCTACATTATGTGAGACATAAAACGCACTCAGCAAGGGAACTACGGTGATTACTGTTGCACATGAAAGAAAGCCTTAAGTGAGTTGGTAGGACCATCAAAACCCTTGCCTGGAGGATCTGAGCTTCAGCCATGCCTTGGGGTGGATTTGATTGTTTCAAGTGCTGGGTAAATTATAGGCTCCTCTCTGCTCTTAAATCCTTGCTTTTTAAAAATAGAAAGTGAGAGATTTGGGCCAAAGGTGTTTTGTTGCTGCAGAGCCCAAAATGCAGACCAGGGCCAGGAGCTTCCGTTGTAAAAACCAGGGAGTAGGGCTGCAGGGAGAACAAGGCTTTCCCTCCCTGCACTGTAATTACTATTACTTTGCATCCAAGTCTTGTCATGGGGGCTGCTCTGAGGCCTTGCCCTCTCATCCTCCGTTCTCTGGCTGAGGGGTTTCTTTTCCTGCCCAGGGTCTCTAACTTCAGCACATTGGAGATGGGTTTAGTCATCTGAGTGCTCCCAAGATTCATGAGTCCTCTGCCAGCATTGTTCTCGTAAAAGCAACCTTACTATCACTGTCTTGACATGATTTTCTAGAGCCACCCCAAATTAAATACTTTTCATCAATTGTACAATACAACTATGTTTTCCTGTCCAAGTCTGGGATGATCCCAGCTACTGTTCTCTTCAGTCCCAAATGAGTGAAAGCTTTATACTCGTGTTTGCACCCCTCTTCTCACAGACTGGCTTCCCAGCCCAATGCCATGAGAGATAGCCCTCACCGCTGTCCACTTCACTCTTCTGTTTGCAGGAACCCCTGCCAGGCACACAGAGTCCTTAAGTGAGCCACTGTAGGTGACCAGGGAGAGCTCTGAAGTTCCCATGTGTTCACACTCCTGAGCATTCCCTCCCTCAGTGCAAAGGACCGAATGTGTGTGTCCCCCTAAAATCCCTATGTGGAAAGCTTAATCCAGTGTGATGGTAGGAGGTGGAACCTTTAAGAGGTAATTAGGTTATGAAAGCAGAGCCTCCAGGAATGGGACTTGTGCCCTTATAAAAGGGACTCCACAGATCTCCCTCATTCTCTTCCTGCCATGTGGGAGAAGTCAGCAGTCTGCAACCGGGAAGAAGGCTCTTGCCTACACCTGACTGTTCTGGCCTTCTGATCTTGGACTGTCAGAAAGAAATATCTGCTGGTCACAAGCCCCCAGGACTTTGTTAGAGCAGCCTGACCTGAGACACGCAGCTTTAGAGGCAGATAGACCCCAGGCAGCAGAGTACTATCCTCTAGGTTTAGGATAAAGATCGGCCAGTGTCTTGCATGGCAGCAAGCAACTTCTCATTTTGCCTCACCCTAACTGCATAGGTGCACTCAGAAGTATGGGTACAGTACACAGGGTGCTTTGTCACCCATCGGAAACCATAACTTTCCACCTGGCTCTGCCTTCATAGCATGGCCAGGGCAAGGATCAACCACTTTGTCAATACCATTCCCTGTATCTCAGACTCTAAGAATTACTCCAGACCCCCAACGTGCATGCCTTGAGGACTCACTTGGGGATGTGTGCATGTATTACATTCCCCACACACATGCCACACATGCATGCACGCAAACAACACAGATGCCCCGACTGGATCAGGGTTGGAGAAGCAGCTGGCTGGAGAGGCAGCACCGGGGTTGGAGAATGCTAAAGAAGGTGCTCAGTTTGCTTCAGGCTGGGCCTCGCTCCCCACACACAGGGCCCCAGTGACTGCACATGGAGAGGAAGGGCCCCTGTCTAGGACTCAAGGCACCTTCCTGTTTGCTTGGCTGCATTTGCACAATCTCTCTGGAAAATCAACTGTCTCCCCTTTCAGCCTCCCCCTGGGAAGGCTATTGCAGTCCATGGATGTACTGTGTACTAGGTCTGTGAAATGAAAAAAAAAAAAAAAAAAAAAAGTCCCAGGAAAACAGTTTGGGCCCAAGCCTCTTTCTGTTAACCTTGGGTATGCACTTCTGATTTGAAAGCAGGAAAAAAGAAATGCCATATTGTTTCCTCTCGACTTCTCTTACCTTGCTTAGCATACGGTTTGCCAGTTTGGACCACCTATCATGCAGACCTGCCTGGGAAGAAAAGGCTCTCTGATGACAAGAAAATCCAGCAATTCCTGTAGCAAGAATGCCCTCTAATGGAAATGCAAAGGACACCAGACAATTCACAAACTTACTTATCCTACCTGATTCTTTATTTTAATCCAATTGGCAGCAACACTGCTCTACATTTGAGATCTTGGGCTCATATGTAATATTTATTTTGCATGTGCTTCTAAAAGAATTGCTGCTTCAAATGACTGTGACCTCTCTATCTAAGCCCCTACATCTTGCAAACAGTTCTGAGAAGCTCTTTGAGGTTATGCTAGCCTTCCCTGCCATTCCAGACTCTGTATCCAGCAAGCTGTCCAGCCACGTTATGATAAAGCAGTGCCAAGAACCAACAAAAAAATATTCTCTGACTTGTCTAAATGGCTTTAGACAGAGAAGTTCTTCTTATTACTTCCCCTCTCATCTCTTGAAAAATGCTCCCCTTACTCTTTGCCCCTGACGGTTGAAAAGAGTAAATTTTCTGTGCTTAATTTTTTTTTCAAGTTCAACATGGAGTACCCGATTCTCTCACATTCCTTCCCATCAGGGAAATGTAGATTTTCTTTCATAGAGGCGTATGTTGGCCATTGAGCTGATCTGACTTGGCCCAGAGCACCACCGAAGCCTCTTGGTCATGCAATCTTACAGGATGTGAGTCCAAACGTAACTGTGTCAGACAGCACAGGAAGGCTTTGTTCAGACGTGCTGAGTGCTCTGACTGAGAAAAACCCACATAGGCATTTTCCAGAAAGACTGATGATTAGTTTAAATTGAACCTAGGATAAGGCTAAACCTCTCACGGTATTACGTATCTATTTCCTCTGTTAGTCAATTAAATAATTAATAGTGAGTAGTGCAGAGGAGGTTGCTTCAGGATTTAGCAGCTCATGTCTTGAAGGCCTTCCCACCTACAGTTACTTAGCCATGATGATGGCTCGGGCTGTAGATGGGATCTGGCCAGGATAGGACTTACCCTACATACCACCCAAGCAGCATCCCAGGATCCAGACTATGGGTGGAACTGCAGACCATGAACATCTAAGGGTGGAATTTTCTGAGATGAAAGCTGCAGAGATTGGGGTTGGCAATTTAATGTCGTTAGAACCAAACCTCATAGACAGACACTGCTGCTTACTTCTCTCCTATGGGGATGGAAACTTGCTGTCAGGCTCCTAGGTTGGTGGGTATTTACATACTGAACTGGTCAAACCTGAGCCCATAAAAGTATCTGCTCTACTCTCAGGTTTGATTCGTGGCCTTGATTCTGACTTTTTTTTATTTATAACACTGAGCCTACTATATAGTTTGTGCCCATATAGGTCTCTTACAAAAGGCCTCGGACATCTCAGGTCACTGATTGAAGGAGTGAAGATAGAAATGACATTAACAGCGGGACCTCGTTATTTTACATTAAGTACACATGGGCAAAAATCATGCATTAAGCTACTGTCATTACACATACCGCAAGCAGGCAGACCTGAGTCAACTGTTTGCCTACTTCATGTATCTGTGTTTCAAATCATACGGTACCACGTGGTTAAGGAGACCAATGATTTCTAAATGAATAGACAATTTGCATGTGGTAGCTCAAGTTAGAGATATGCTTTGCATTGGCTCTCTGGTCTCAAAAAACATAGTAATGAATCTGATATTCAGCATTCCTTCTCTCCCAAGTGTTGTCTATTGTTACTGATTTGACACAATAGGACAGCACATACCTAGACCTTGTGTCTACCTGATTTTGTCATGAAGCACATGACCCTCTGCTGATTTCTTCTGATGGAGGTCAGCACCCTGTTGAAAGTCATTCCAGAGATGGAGTAATTTACCTTTCCATGAAGTAATTCTTGTTTAAACTTTGGCAGAGTATTTCATTGAGAAAACCCTACTTAACATTCCACTTTATTTTTCAAGCAACTTTCTAGTGAGATAAATCCTCTGAAATCATTATGAAATACTCAACTATCTTTGGGCATCTAAACACCAGTTTTCATTCTTTTTGGTACAGTTTGGCGATCTCTGAATCTAAAAATTGCACTTGTTGTGATATAAATTCTGCCATCACAATATATTGCACTGTGCTCATCATTTCCTTTTCTCTCTGTATTTTAAATTAAATGCACCAGGCAGGGGAAAGTATTAACCAAAAGGGAAAAGTTGTAGAGAGCAGAGTGCATTTTGTCTGAGAGCAAAATCAAACCTCTTGAGCCTCCTCCTTATGCCCTCCCCCTTTGCTTTAAGACAGCATAAGGAAGAGCCTGGAGGGCCACTTTGAAAAATATTCCAAGGCTCCAGTAGTGAACAGATTAAATCTTTGTCCTGGCTGAGGCCTCAGCTCCCAGGGGCAGAGTCCAAGGCAGAGAGCAGGGAGAAGCTGGTGGTCAACAAAGGAGACTCAATCTAGATGCTGTGCTGTGGGTCAGAGGTGCAGGTGCACTGATTGAATCCACGTGGGCAGCCTGGCCCCAGGGCTACAGACAGAACTGTGTGGCAAGATCCTTGTGTGACCTCTGCCCAAAGTTGACTCAATCTGGTTCAGTCTAAATATTATTCATCCCTCTTTTTTAAGTGTGACACAGTCACTCACCAACTCCCAAAGGCCTGGGATTAATCAAACTTCAGAGACTAAAAAAAAAAAAAAAAAAAAAAAAAAAAAAAAAAAAACCATAATACCTGGTGATTGTCTGTAAAGCTTACAGTGGGGAGCCCTCCAGTGGCCATTGAAAAAATTGAACCCTGGTCAGTTTGGACAACAGATACTCTCTCAGAAATGGTACAATCAATATTACAGAATTCCCTACAAATTAGCCTCAGTCATGCATAGCATCTGAGGGTGAGATGAAGAGAATATCTCTTTAAGAAAGTTTAGGGAGTCTTGCTCTTTCCTGAGGATATGGGTCACAGACAGGGAGAGAAGTTGACATTGGAGTTGGTTACTTGCGTTTGTTCTTCCCTTTGAAAAAAGCCTGACTTTGGGCCCTTCATGCCCCTCTCTGCTTCCTCAGTTCCTCAGTCTGTTTCTCTCTTGCATCACTGTTTTAAGGATTCAGTGAGATAGGGGAATGACCAAATAGCACACAAAAGGTGTCCTAAGAACATTAGGTCTGTCTACTTTTCCCAAGATCATGACTTATGGTTGTACCACTAGCTTTGGACCTTACAGAGAGCAGAACTGTTTTGTTTACTGTCTACTTCTGTTATTGAGTGGTATCTTCCCGACTTGTTTGATGATCGGCTCTTCATACTTCTTTGCAGCCATGAACTAGTGTCTATCTAGTACGTGGTCAGCACCAGCAGAATGTGGATTATATTTTACTCTATATAGCAAATGTTTCTCGGGGTCTACTGTATCAGGTGCTCTCCTGGGGTTCTTTGGGATCAAACTGTATCTCCAGTTAAAAGAGACACTCTCTCCCTCCCTCACTCTCATGCTCTCTTGCTCTCTCATTCATTTATTTTTATTTTTTTTAATCACACCTAGGGAGGTTTAAGCTATGATAATGACTCCACACCATTTATAAGGTCCGTGGTGGACACTAAAGGGTTAAAATTAAACTTCTAATACAAAGGCTAGAATGATCCTATGCATCAAAAACCCTTTGCCCACCCAGCTGGTGTAGCTCAGTGGTTGAGCATCAACCTATGAACCAGGAGGTCATGCTTCCATTCCCGATCAGAGCACATGCCTGACTTGTGGGCTCAAACCCTGGTGTGGGCATGCAGGAGGCAGCCGATCAATGATTTTCATCATTGATGTTTCAGTCTCTCTGTCCCTCTCCCTTCCTCTCTGAAATCAATAAAAATAAATAAATAAATAAATAAAACCTTTGCCCAACAGGTGTGGCTCAGTGGTTGAGCATTGATCATTGATGTTTCTATCTCTCCTTCTCCGAGATTTCCTCTCTGAAATTGATTTAAAAATATACATATTTTTAAAACCTTGCTTCATATTTATCACTAGATATTATGGAGAACTGTGGGGATCTTCTGAAATTTGAAACTATGCTTTAAATATTATAGGTTCTAAAGTCTTTCCTGTCCATGGTGGTGAGATGAGGTGAGGATTCTGTGAGAGTACCAATGAGGATAACTATAGCAAGCATATAGATCATCTTGATTAAAGGCTAACAAAACAGGTAAGAATAGTGAAAATATCAGAGGAATGAAAGAAGAGGAGAGTAGTAAGTCAGACAAGCTTAAAACAATTCCTAGAATTATCACCTAATCACTTCATATTAGCATTTTATGTTACAGACCCTGACATAACTCATTGCATAAGTATAAAGCCTGGCATAAAACTGAGTAGATAAAAGTTCAGAAGGCTGAATGATTGGGGAGGCGGGGAGGTAAAATGTGAATAACCAAGGAGCCCAGTGCACAAATTCTTGCAACTTGAAAGGAACTGTAGGCCAGGAGGCTGCGATGGGTAAAGAGGCGGATCTCAGCCCATCCTCCATGCCCCCACCTTGCCTCTCCTCCCATGGCTTCTGGTCCCCTGTCTGCTGGAAGCCCCACTCCCACCATTGCCACTCCCATGCACTGATGGTGCCAATCCTACTTGCACCCACTGAAGGCACAGAGCAATTAGAGCTGGTGCCAGCAGCATATGCAAGCGGGGCTAATGCTGGAAGCAGGTGTGAAAGCTGGGCAGGACCACAGCGTGCAGGAGTAAAGAATTTTCAGTAGCCATCAGAGGCTCACCCCAATGACAGTGACCAGCACCCCACCTTGGTCTGGCATCCCTGTTCACCTGCTCCATCATCCCGCCACGGCTGATGCCCGCCATGTTCCACACTCTGCCTCCTGCTGCCAATGCCTGCCATGTTCTGTGTGCATCCCTGGTGGTCAGTGCATATCATAGCAACCAGTGTTCGGTTGTTCTGACATTTGATATATTTGCATATTAGAGTTCTATATATATAGCTATGGCCATCACTTTCTGGGATCCAAAATGTGATTTCACCTGTATTTTTATGTGTGGCAGATTGTATTTCCCAAATGTGGTTACAACAATATCTCCTATCTCATTTGCTCTTCTACAATGTGACCTTGCTCCATTGAGAGGTAAAGTCTAACTCACACACACCCTGAATGGAGGTGGGCTTCTGACCACTTTTAAGAGTATAGTATATTAGAAGTGACACAGTGAACTGTCAAGGCCAAGTCATATAAGACAATGCAGCTTCCACTTTGCTTCAACCTTGCACTTGGATCCCTGAACTTTCATGTAAGAAGACTGACTACTCTTACATTACTACAGAGGTTACATGTTGGTGTCCTGGGCCAGTTTGGGCATCTACCCAAGTTAAGCTGTCAAATGAAAGAAGCTCTAACCAATGTCTGATTATATCTGCAGGAGTGACACCAAACGAGATCAGTGATCAGCAAACAGCGGCTCTCGAGCCACATGGAGCCTTTTGGCCCCTTGAGTGTAGCTTTTCCACAAAATATAATATCACATGTGTGTGCGCACATACAGTGCAATTGAAACTTTGTTGTCCGTGCACAGAAGCCAGTTTTCAGCCTGGGTGAGTCTATTTTGAAGAAGTGGCGTTAGAACACTCAAGGGGCCAAAGAGCCACATGAGAGCTGCGGTTTGCCAACCACTGACCCAGATGAACCCTGTCTATATTCCTACCCAACCAGTCATGAGCACAGCCACATTGTTTAAAACTGCTAAGTGTGGAAGTACTTTGTTATACAGT